TGATTTTTATTTTTCCATATACTTTTTTAACAAGCGACGTATAATCGGGAACGACGTAACTCGAAACCGACGTAAGTCGAGGTATGCCTGTATTCATTCATAATCTAACTGGATATAATGCCCATTTATTTGTTAAAGAACTTGGATATGATGAAGAGAAAATTGATTTGATACCAAACAATAAGGAGCAATATATATCATTTAGTAAGAAAATTGGAAAAATGAAAGTTAGGTTTATAAATTCATTTAAATTTATGGAAGCATTTAAGATTAGAAATATGGGTGAATATTCAGATATGTATGTAAAAACAGATGTTTTAATATTAGCAGACATCTGAGAATTTTAGAGATGTATGCATGAAAACTTATAAATTGGACCCAGCATGGTATTATACAGCACTTTGATTATCATAGGATGCTATGTTAAAAACAACAAAACTTGCTGAACTGATAATGATTGAAATAGATATAAAAATTAAAGATATTCCTGGCATACACTATTACAGAAGATACATCGATGATGTTCTGATTGCGTATGATGAAGCTGAAGTAAAAATTGAAGAAATAAATAAATTAATAAATAGTATTTATACAGAAATTCAATTTACTATTGAAAAAGAAAAAATAACTGACAATAGCATAAGGTATTTAGATGTAATCATCATTAGAAAAGAAAATAGGTTAATGTTTGAACCTTTTAAAAAACAATTTTCAATTGAAAAAACATTGAATTATCATTCTAATATACCTTTGTATATAAAAAAAATATTTTTTACATGGAATATAAAAATATAATAGAACTAGTGAACACAAAAATAAATACATAAACGATTTACGTAGAAAATTTAGCTTAAATGGATATCCTACTAGATTAATTAATGATTGGCAACAAAAAATAGATAATAGTATTGTTTCACCTGTTGAAAAAGAAAAAATAAAACCAAAAGTTAAATATCTAAGTATAAAAGAATTGATAAGGAACTCCAAAAAAGAAAAAACAACAAAGCTACCCCAAACTATAAAAATCTAATATCCCGATTAAATGCAAAACAACGTCCACAAAAGCAAATAGAAAACAAAAGCGAAATGAAAAATGTTGTATATAAAATACCCTGCACTTGTGAAATTAATAGTATTTTATATAGGTGAAACAAATAGAACATCAAAAACACGCGTAAAAGAGCATATATCGGATTTAAAATATAGTCGCTTAAATTCAGTTTTTTATGATCACTGTGTAACTAATAATTGTAATATTCATCAATTAAATATACAGATTTTGCATAAAGAAAAAAAAGAGCATATGATAGAAAATTCAAAGAAAGTATTGAAATAATAAAGAGCAAATATCAAAATTGTATTAACAGGAATTTAAGTCTGAATGTATGATGAATTTCTATATGGTAGCTTACTTGGATTTATGTTACAGAATAATGATGGACTCAAAAGTTAATTATGACTTTTTGTAAATAGTCTAAACTTCAAATTATGAAGAAATAAATCCTGAGTTATTACAAGAATTGTTACAGAATAGTTATTGTTTATTAATCACTCTGCCTGTACGTTAGAAATTGGGATTTTTGAAAAGACCGATTGTGTTATTGTAAAAAGTGTACAGGAATGGCATTTATGATAGTCATTGTGTGACCTTTATGGCTGCCTACAGATACGCCATGTATTGGTCAGGTGTCTGAAATTTGGAGTGAAGTATGTTTTAATAATTTTTTAAAAAAACAAAAAAAATTTTTATTGATTTTATGTTCGGTTTGGTTTATGCTCGACCATAGCTAATTAAGGTTTTTTTTGTGTGTTGTTTTATGCTTGTGTAGTTGGCTGAAAAGGGGTGAACACCCGAAACGCAAATGTATAGCACGGCGTACTAACTAAATAAAGATGGAAAACTTGCCAAGTGTTGGTTAAGAGGTCACTTCATTGTGCCAGTATACAATAATAATAATAAAAGTTGAATTAAAATTATTAACTGTTTAATATTATGATTTTGATGTTGGAAAAAGAAATAACAGATGGAATCTCCCAATGTTGTAAGAAATGTGAAAAGGCAAATAACAAGTATATGAAAGATTGTGATAAAAACAAGGAATCTAATTATTTGATGTATCTAGATGCAAATAACTTATATGGATGGGCTATGAGTCAATATTTACCATATGGTGGATTTCAATGGTTTAATAATTGTTTACGTATGAATTTATCTTATTCTCTTTTTGGAGATGAATGGTATGGAAAAAAAATATTTCTCTTGAAGAGAGTGAAGAAATCCTGATGAAAATTCCTGATGACTCAAAGATTGGATACATTTTAGAAGTTGATATGGAATATCCCAAAGAATTACATGATTATCATTCTGATCTTCCTTGTGCTCCATAGAACAGAATACCAGATGGATCAAAACAATCTAAGCTGTTAACCACTTTATATGATAAAGAGAAATATGCAATTCATTATAGAAATCTAAAACAATATTTCAAAATGGGGATGAAACTCAAAAAGATACATAGAGTATTAGAATTCAAGCAATCAGATTGGTTGAAAAAATATATAGATCTGAATACTGAAATGCGAACCAAAGCAACTAATGATTTTGAAAAGGACTTTTTTAAACTAACGAACAACTCTGTGTTTGGAAAGACAATGGAAAACATGAGAGAGTTGATATCAGGTTATGTTGTAATGCTAAACAAGTAGAAAAATTAATCGCTAAACCGAACTTTAAAGATCAAACCATATTTACTGAAAACTTATCTGCTATTCACATGTATAAGACAAAAATATGTTTTAATAAACCTATCTATGTAGGAATGAGTATATTAGATCTTTCGAAGCATTTGATGTATGATTTTCATTATAATGTAATGAAACATAAATACAGAGATAACATAAAACTGTTATATCAGGATACGGATAGTTATATATATGATATAAAAACAGATGATATTTATCAAGACATGAAGGGAATGATTGATTACTTTGATACATCCGATTATCCTGAGAATAATCAATATAGTACACCAAGAGTTAATAAGAAAGTGTTAGGTAAAATGAAAGATGAAAATAATGGAAAAATAATGACTGAATTTGTTGGTTTAAGAGCAAAAATGTACGCCTTAAAAGTAGATCAGGTTACAAAGAAATCTAAAAAAGTAAAGAAATGTGTTGTTAAGAATATCATTTGAGGAATATTAAGACTGTATTTAAGAAAAGGGAGCAATATAGAACAATGAATCTAATTAGAAGCAAGAAACATGAAATTTATTCAATAAAAGTAAACAAGAAGGCCCTTATCCCCACATGATAAGAGAGATTTTTTGGAGGATGGAATTAACACATTAGCATTAGGTCATAACGTATCACAAAGTTACAATGATCAAAAGGATAATTATTTTTTAAAAGTTTTGTTAATTTATTAGATTGAAGTAGAACATAAAAAAACCATGTAAAATTACAGTAAGTGTACATTCTTATTAATTTTTGTTAATTGAAATCTATTAAAATTACTACATACTTAATTATGAATTAAAATCTGTCCTTTATAAGTATACAATCAAAATAGATTTAATAATTATCAGAAATTATTGTCCTAATTGACGAATTTTTTCTCCTTTCTGTATTCTTTAGTTAACTCTGAAATACGATTCATTTGGCGTTTAGTATACGAATGTCTCATTATTTAAATAGCTTTCATTTGTTTTAATTATTCTCTGATTTAATTAAACAGGAAATTCCAGTTTATTTGACCTGTTTAATTACTGACAGATGACGAAGACAAATTCCGTGCACACACTGATGAAGTTTATGAGTCGAGTCATCCTTCATCTAGTAAACTTACTTCAACAGAAGAAACGATGGAAATGCGACTGTCAATATTTCCGAATATCCCGGGATTCAATATTTGTAATTATTGGTTCGGAAATAGTGAATATAGAAAATTACATCAAAATGGCAAGAAACACTTGAATATTTGCCGCAGATTAGAAATACCGTTTGAAGAAACGAAGTGTGCCATCGCTTAAGTAGATTGCTACGAGGCCAAATCTGATGCGATTACTAATTATCCAATCAAAACTATTGAAAGGTTTATTGTTTTTTTATGGGCAAAAAGTAAATGCTGTTTGTTTTCATTGGACGCGAAAAGTCTAATTATAAGTCTGTTAGAGAAGAATTAGAGAAGCTGAAACGTTTGTATTCCAGAATGACACAGATGTCTTTTGTGTACATTTTCCATTAGGTATGCGATGTTTGTGTCGATCCTACGACTCGCCCTTTTAGGGAAACGTTTCCTTTCTTCAATTACATAAATTGTAAGTGTTTACCTGAGTTTCTATCAATCGAACCTTTCAAAAACAAGCAATTTATTAGTGACATCGTGATGTGTAAGGATGAGACGTGTATAGCTCTATTAGTTTTTATTTGGTGGAATTGAGTACCCTGTTTTGAATAATGAAGTAATTCGACAAAAAACTGAAGTAATAATTTAATTTCACTCTGATGATTCGTGGTGCTTATTCCCTTCATAATTTACACTTCACTTAAATTAGTAAATTCCTTGCTATGTTGACCGTATTAAAAGTTCTAAAATGTGAAGTGTTTTGTGCTGCATAGTGTTTTAGAAGAATGCAACGAGTGATGGATGTATTTTGTACACGTGTAGAATATGTAGCAGCCAACTGTGTGGAACACAGTCGAATGCTTTTATGTAGTCTATATATGTCATGTGTATGTTTCTGTGTTGTTTGTGTGCTTGTCTTAGAATGACTGAATCTATGAGTAACTGTTCTTTGCATCCCCTGTCATTTCTACAGCAACCTTTTTGTTGTTCTGTAAGAATGTCGTGTTCTTCAACATGTTTGTATATTTTGTTTGCGATACATGCTGTCAATAATTTGTAGAGTGTTGGGAGACATGTAATTGGTCTGTATTGTGTGGGATCTGTGTTGCTGTTGCTTTCAGATTTCATGTAGGTGATGCTCCGAGTAAGAAATTTTGGCATGTCTTGTGGATTGATAATGGTTTGTGTTAGATGTTTGGCTAGTTCCCGATGCAGTGATGTAAATTTTTTGTACCAGAAATTGTGAATGTTGTCTACACCAGGTGTCTTCACGTTGTGTGTTCTGTTAACAGCGTAGCGGATGTCGTGTACATTTATCTCAGCACAGGGCATAGTTGGTATGTTGTGCAAGTTTCTGTTCTCCTCCTCGATCCAACCTGCATCAGCATCGTGTGTAACAGCACTGGACCGAAGAGAAGACCAATAAGTTGCGAGATTTTCTTCTGTTGGTGTGCCACTGTGCTGTGTATCAGTGTTTGAATTAAAAATAGCACTACACATAATATAAAATAACTACATTTATAGTTATTGCTAATTGACCTATATTTCATTGATGTTTTTAAAAATAAATAGTAAGTATTATATGCCAACGAATGAGATGCAACTCGGTTTTTAATTAATGGACATAAGATTAAACCAATAAACAAAGGAACGTGTGCCTTAATTTGTTTACAGTAGGTACCAACTTACGATAAATAGACTGTAGACCTATAATGAAAGCATGAACTATACACAGTTCACAGAAATTTCAAAAACGAAAACAATCCTGCGCTCATGCGTATAGGACGACCTAGGTTTTTGAAGAAGTAAAAAATGAGTAAATCCCTCGTATTGTGTGTGTGTGTGTAACTACGGTACATTTTTTAACAAAAATACTTAAAATTAGAAAAAGTACTTACCACGCTCCTGTAATTCCATCCGTCGTAAATAGAACGAACGTCTCCATTTTCACAGTTCATGTTTTCACACTTTTCTGAACAATGAGGTTCATCTACCAACAAGAACCAATTATATTGAAAAATTGTCATTCGACAAATGTAAATAAGCATTTTCTTTGATTCAAAAATACCAAAATATATTAAATTTGTTATAATTTTTTGTTATATTAAATCGGAATAAATAGAAAAAGTGCGTAACTATTTAAATAATAAAGAAATTGGTATATTTAAAGTAAAATGAGTTTCCTTTTAGTATTAAGTACAGTACAAACGAATAAAGCCAAGAGTTTGTAATAATTCATAACAAGGTTTTTTGATAATTGTAAAATATATTTTCATTGGATATTGCTAAGAAATTAGATAAGTGTGTAGGTGTAAGAATTCTAATAAATTTCGATAAATAAAAATCAATAAAAATTCAAATTAAAATTTTTCTTACAATATTTTAAAAGTAATAAATTAAAATAAGTTTTTTGAAAATTAAACATCTATATTTCATTTAGTCGAAGAAATTCTTTACAAATATTCATTCGATAATTTTTAAAATTTATTCCATTAATTTTTACTACAATTAATTATGAAACACAATTAAAATGATAATGATAAAATTTTATTTTGCATATTTTTGCATCCACGATCACGGTCTAGTTAGAAGAGGATTGTATAAAATTGTACGATCAAGAAGATTACTGATTCCTAACGTTCCTCGTCCATAGTTAATACTATTCTCTCTCTTACGGTGTTCATAGAGACGTTATTAGAATTTCTAATAGTAATTATTAGTGTGTATTTTCGAATGCTAATGTAACGTACACGGATAATATTAACAATTTTGTTTACAGGAAATCGTACTTCAACATTAAAAAAGATTTAAAGTGGAACCATTTCATGGCATAACTGGCGGTTATTACAGAACGATTCCATAGCTGTAGTTCTGTCTTTTACCACGAGATATCGCTACTTCGTCCGGTCACGAAGCTCCACAAGCGTAATTCGAATTTAGGGTATGTTGTGACGCCACTGAACCACGTGTCGGAATGCAATCGATGTAAATAGCACACAGTCAGAACTAATTTATTAAAAACAAAATTATCTACCTGTTCGTTTCTTGTATGGCAAATTTGTCTATTTCAATGTTTATATCGTAGCTTTAAAAAATAACTATTGTTCATTATATTTATCGAAATATTTAAAATTATACAGTATACTAGCAGACCCCGCCACGCGCTGTTGTGGCTCAAAATGAATCTATTATAAATGTATAATACTTTCCCTGCGGGGGGAATTTTTCAAAAATCCCTTCTTAGTGTACATTTTCTTAACGTGTCCTGTTAAAACGCAATCAAGAACGCAAAAAACCGCATCTAAAATAATATAATAGAAGCTAAGTCCATTTATCACGTATTTAAACAAACGTTGTTGTTTGCGTTAATACGTGCATTTGATAATATTTTATTTGTGATTAAACAAGATAAAATTACAGTTGTTTTAATAAATAAATAAATTTAACTACTGTATTTTTATTTTGATCTCTAAGTCACACCTCGTTTTATATGCAAGATCGTCTTATATCCGAGTAACTACGGAGATTTATTACATGTTTATAATTACTGAAACACAGATAATAGACATACCGAACTTCGACACAAGACATACACAATCATTTCTCAACTGCTAAGCTCACTTCAATAAAAGAAACAACGGAAATAAAATTCTCAACTCTTCTAGCTATCGAAGGCTTTCATATTTAACTATCCGTTGAAAGTAAGTGACTGTGAACCCTTATTACTCGAAAATTCAGCTATTAATAAAAAATATCTACATAAAGAATATATGCCACAGAGTAAACATACCGTTTGAAGAAACGAAATACGCCATTTTTTACGAGGATTACGCAGTAAATTCGCAATGAAACAAAAGTAATTTAACTATCATTTTCTTAAACAAAAGAATATTTATAATGCTCTTTATCTTTATATCAATAGTAGTAAATCTGACTTTAGAACTGTCAAAAAATATTAAAGTATAACATTTTTATTTCAGAATGACACAGAAAGAAGTGTACAATATCAATCCCGTGTGCATTATTTGTGACGAACAATCAATTCGAGCTATTTGGAAACGTTCTCTTTTCGTCAACTATGCCATTTTTATACAGAATTTTCTTATCGACCTTCTCGAAAACGATTAATTCGTTGATAACAACGAGAAATGTTCAGATGAGTCATGTGTAGCATTATTGGTTTTTTTTTTGGTAAGAGTTAATACACTGTTTTAAAATAAATAATTACTTCAACTGTTAATTAGTTAAACTGTGATTAGTTTCCTTCCAATAGTGCATATGCTTGTAATTAGAAAGATAGTTTTAAAGCGGCATAGTAAAATAATAATAATAATAATGTTCCTGTATACAAAAAAAAAAATTGCGCGATGTGTTTTACGTGTGTTTTATTTATTTAATTTTATATAGTTAAGAAATCTGAGATGAAGCCCGTATGAGATTTTCCATTATTTACCAGTTAGGCCTTCATTTCATCATGTATTTTTTATACGCAGAAGTTCCCGAGTCAGACGTGTGATTCGTGCTGTCTACGTTAACACAATATAACTATACGGACCAGGAAAACTGGTGATAAATGTAAAATAGGAAAAGTTTATCCAAATTTAATTAAAATGCCTCAATGTCCTTCTCTTACTAAATTATAAATTTTCGTTTATAAACAAGCATTCACTATTATCAGGACTTATACTGGCTTAACAGACAAAAAAAAATTGTTCTCTGTGAAACTCTGTATTGTCTGTTAAGCTATAATTTTAATAATCATTTTAGCCGAAATTCTGGTGTATCAGAAATTGCAGAGAACAGAAAACATGGAGAAAGAAATAGAAAAATTAAAATCGGAAATATTGTATTTGAAGAAATGCAAAATAGAAGATATAAAGTTACCAATATTAAGTATACCAGTGAATATCAGTAGGAACTTACAAAGACATGATGTAGAAAAAATAAACAAATTAATAACAACTTCTAATATTAATCATAAAAAGTATAAACTAAAGAAATTACAAAGGAAAATTAAAAGAAACAAAGAACAGACAAGAAATGACTTTAATGGTAAGTCCTTCTTAAATAAATATAATAAATTAGTTAAGAAGATAGGATATCCGACTCTTAAAGAAAGAAGATTATGAAAAACAATTAATATTGAATATGACGAAAGTAGAAATTCCAGGACCAATCCACTCAAATTGGGAATGGACCAAAAATGATGAAAATTGAAGAATTTGCGGTGACCACGGAACACCTGTTATGGAAATTTCCAGAAGAGGAAAGAGAAGGTATACGAAAAGGTATGCAAAAAATAACAACAAATAAAAAAGTAAATAAAAAAACAAGAAACAATTAAATAATGTTTAAACATTTTTAAGTAATAATAACTTGGAAATACTTCAAGGTGACAAAACGAAACAAACAATAATAATGAAGAAAGAAGAAAAAACAGAAGTGATCAGAGGATTAATTAAAGAAGGAAATTATAAAGAACTAAAGAAAGATGCAGTGAATGAACTCATAAAAGCATTAGACAAGGAACTGAAAAATTTGAAAACAAAACTACATATAACAGAGGATGACATCAAATATATCAAAAAAGAAGATAATAGAACACCAAAATTTAACATAAAGGTAAAACACACAAAAATCCTATAAAATATAGACCATTAATAGATGTTAGAAATTATTTATATTATAATCTAGAAAAATATTTTAAAAATAAATTAAATTTATTACAAGTGTCTACTTATAAAAATGTAGATGATTTGTTAATAAGATTAAAAAATATTACAATTAATAAACATATGAGATTAATATCTCTCGATATAGTAAATATGTATCCTAGTATCACAATAGAAGATATAGAAAATTTATTGATATGAATTAAAACACCAAATTGGATAATTAAATTATGTTTAATTATAATTAAAAATAACTACTTTCAGTTCGAAAATAAATTCTATACCCAGAAGGATGGAATACCTATGGGTACTTGCATAGGTCCAAGATTGGCTGAAATATCAATGATGCAAATAGATGAAAAAATTGAAAATATAGAAGGCATATAATTTTACAGCAGGTATGTAAATGACTGTATTATAATATATGATAAAAGGAAAACAAATGAACAAATAATCATAAATGAAGCTAATGAGATAAAAGAAAACATTAAAGTTGAAATAGAAACAGAGAAACAAAAAAAAATAGTATTAATTATCTAGATATAACAATAGAAAAAAAATTAATTAATTTATAAAAAATGTGTGAAACCTATACAAATACCAAAAACAATTAATTATAAATCTGTTACAGCAATAAGTATGAAATATAATATATTTAAAATGTATATAAATAAAATAAGACAACGAACTAGTGAAATTAAAACACAGGAGAAAGAAGAAGAAACAATAAAAATGTTTACATTAAATGATTATCCAAAAAGTCTACTGAATAAATGGTTAAAAAATCTAGAAAATGATAAACAAATAAGATTAATAGATAAAGAGAAAACTTTTTGTTAAAATAAGGTATATCCCTAAGACGTTTGAAAGAATTAAAGTATTAAACAGGAGAATTACCGATCCTACTGTATCGTGTAAATAAACGTTTATGTTAGAAAACTTAATTATTAACGAAAGCCTTACATTAATATGTAAATTTTCGATAATAAATTCGTATCTTCTATTATCAGGACTTATATTATCTGTAAAGCCAGTATAATAAGTCCTGATAATAGAAGATACGAATTTATTGTCGAAAATTTACATATTAATAAGAAAAAAGGACATTGAGGCATTTTAATTAAAGCCTTACATTGTTAAGATCTTCTCGAAATACATGCAAATTAAACACAATACCACTAAATAAAAAAATTTTAAATCATTGAAACTTAACTCCATATTACACTTATCATATAAATTACTCGTCCTAACAAAAGTTATAATTTGTAAATTAAGCAATAATCGTCTTCATCGTATCATTTTATATCATCCTCTTTTAACTGGATAGTGATTATGGATGCAAAAATAGGCATAATAGAATTTTAAATCTGTATTTGTTATTCTCAAAGAACTTCTATTTTAAAAGTAATAAATTAATAAAGAGAATTTTAATTTGAATTTTTACTGATTTCTATTAATTAAAATGTATTAAAACTCCAACGCTTAGACAATTATCTAATTTTTTAGCAATATACGTAGAAAATAGATTACACAATTATCAAAAAACCTTGTCATAAATTACCACAAACTCTTCGCCTTGTTTGTTTGTACTTAATACTAAAATAGAACTTATTTAACGTTAAATATACCCATTTCGGATAATATTACCTAAGGTTTCAAGATGGAAACTTTTTCGGTCGCCATTTTGAATTATTTTAAAGACTGCACGGATAATGTTATTTCGATCGGAGACCACGTAACTCCTCAGCTATAATAGACTAATAAAGTAATATAAAAGAAAAATTTACTCACGTCAATGGTTTTTTGTTTTCGATCTTAAATTCTTTTCTGACTTGATAGATTCTTTTTCGCTTGTTGCAGGTTCTTTCTTCCCTGTTCGTGTCGATTTGGCTACTTTTTTAGACGTTGTTTCGTGTTTCTCTGTATTCGATTTGTTCTTGGCTTTTCCTTTTCATTGCATTATTATTGTTTTCCTTCTTTTTCATATTCGACACTAATGTTAACGGAACAGTTTCTGTTTCGACCCATTTTCTTTTTTTCCGGTCCCAGGATAGATCATGGTGTGCAAAAATTTGGAATCTCTCTTTAGGTTTTCTAAGGAGCCAATTCATGAATTTTTTCATACATAAATAAGTACATGTAGGAGTCTGAAAGATCGTTTATGTAGTACTTTGCTAGGTGCTTTTTATTCTATAACTACCCCCATAAACGTTTCATCTGTTGAGTATGATATCCAGTTTGGGGTTTACAAATTTTTTAAATGGTTTCTACTGTTCTCTGTTGTACATTTACTGCTTCTATGTCGTCTATATGCTTATATCCACTCCATTCGTCGGTTATCATTGTAAATTTACATTTAGAATTATAAACAGACTCTTATTTGCCTAATTTTACAGCAAATTTAAATGCGCTGTCGATATCAGGAGGTAAACCTAACTCCAAAAATTCGTTTTCCATTAACTTATAGAAATTACGTTTTTGGCACAACTCGACCAAAATGAAGTCGGCAAAACTCATTTTCAAAGAATCAACAAAAAACTAAACACAAACAAAGAAAATAAAATTTTTAAAAAATTATAAAATTGGATTTAAATATAATTCTTAAATTATACTAAAATTTGAAAATAATAGACTATAATTACCAAAAATACAATTTGAAAATTAATTATTGAAACGAAGAAAGCAATTATTCCAATACGCATTTGTCGTAACACAGTCAATTTCGAATGACTACAGATTGCTTTGCATAAATCCACAATAATCTACATATACGACGTCAAAGCTTATAAATTTGCATATTCATTTATAACAACATTATACATCATCCATTAAGCATTCGCATTACGTCACATTATTACGAAAGAGCTCCCTCTATCATCATTAACACGCATGTCTCCGTTTCGAGATTACCGGAAACGTCGCCATCTTGGAACCTAAAGTAACATCAACCCTAATTTCTTTATCATTTAAATAGTTATGCATTTTTTTTTTCTAATTATTCCGATTTAATAAAACAGTAAATTTTAATAAATTTAATAAACTCTGTAACCTTTGAAAATCAGAGAAAGTGCGTATTTTCATTTTCTTAAATGACAATCTAAATATATAAAATTACTTGTCATGACTGACTGACTGACTGACTTAGTCACTGATTCATTATCTCCAAGAGTAAACCGCTGAACCTAGAGTTGAAATTTAATACACAGTTAGGGTACGTCATGGAAACGCACACTAAGAAGGAATTTTTCGAAATTCTCAAGCGGGTGGAGAGGGAGAGCATTAAGGCTTAACGGCTTCTACTGTACTATATGTACTGTACTGTATGTACTATATGTACTGTACTACTTCATTAAAGCTGAAAAAACGGCTTCTACTGTACTATATGTACTGTACTGTATGTACTGTATGTACTGTACTACTTCATTAAGGCTGAAAAAACGGCTTCTACAGTACTATATGTATTGTACAAGAAAAAATTGAAATTTTTTATTTAATGAAACATCAAACACCTTCTATCGATAAGAAATGTTTATTAAACGAAACACTAGCGTTTTCGACCTTATAACAATAGGCCATCTTCAAGTGTAACTGATTTCGAACGTATTTTAAAAATTTAATATTCTGACATTCTTATTTTTCTTTTATTTCACAAATTGAAAGACGAAATATTAACGATACGATTAGTTATTTTACTTTAATTAACGTCTAAAACCACAGATTTTGAAGAATAAATGGTAATGTATAAAGTAGTAAGTGCTATTTCTTAAGCATTTCTGAAAATACTATATAAATTTTTATGTATTTATTTTATTGTATTATTTATATCGTTGTTGTTTTAGTTTATTATTTATTTGTTAATTTATCTAATATTCTCGTTTTAAATTTAAATGTAAAATGTCTGAATGTTCTGTTGTTAGAATGTTAAATTTTTAAAATACGTTCGAATTCAGTTACACCCGATGACCTATTCCATTAGGACGAAAACGTTAGTGTTTCATTTAATAAACATTTCTCAGCGATAAAAGGTGCTTGATGTTTCGTTACGTGTTTATAAAGGTTGAGTTTGATATTTGGTTTTAAAAATTTACCATTTAAACCTTAAATTAAGCTAACCATTTTAATTAAACATCCTATCATACACAGAACGAATAAATAATATTAAAAACTAAAAGACTTGCACAAGAACAGTCCATCTTCTATTCATGACGTCACGAGTCAGGCCTTGTTATCTAGATGGTGGTGACACGTGACGCCTACAGAACAGTAAATATGAATTGCCAGTGTAAAGAACAAAACCAAAACAAATTGTAATTTATAAACGATTTATAAAGTAAATATATATAGGCTAAAGCGTTCGCGGGCCAACCCTTCATTCTTCAATATATTTTCGCGAGGTTTTTTTTTGTCAACACTAAGTTTAGCCAGGTGGAACTTACTTCTTCTTACACAGACCAACCAAGAATGAAGAAAACCCTCTCCCTTTTTACCACGTGAATCCTACCCCCCTTCTAATTGGTCTATAGACCATCCACACTCCCTAGTCTCGGGATAAGGAACTCCTAAATTGTGACAATGGTCACTAGACCAGTTTAATCCACTCGGCTACTGGTGGCACAATGGGCTTTACGGAGATGCTTTGCATTAGTCACTCTGGTCCATCTTAGATATATGCAAAATAAAGCAAATTTTTCTTTTATTTCACAAATTCAAAGAAGAAAGATTAACGATACAACGGCATCACTTATTTTGCTTTAACTGTTTCCGACCTGTGGGGCACTAAGAGAGCATTTTTAGCAAGCCGACTATGGGTTCGGCCATGCCCACAATGACGCGGCTAGGAGGAACAGGGCCCGACATATCCGGCACAGACCACCACCGAAAAATTGCTGGAGTTGCTGGCCTAGACACGATCCCAGATTCTCCAGAGCGGTATGATGACGCCTTAATGGCTTCGGTAATCTGGCCGTTGTAGAAACTCTCATAACTTTCCAATCGGCATAATGCTATGAGGAATCCGAATTCGAATTCCGATCGGATCCTCAGAAATTTTCAAGAAGGCTTACAATGGGGCTAAGTGGTCGCGCCTTACCACTTAGCCGTTCTGTTGTGAACGAATGGTGAAAATACATCTTCATTTCACAGATAATGGCTGTAATTTAAAGTAATTTTAACTGATTTAATTGCATTGTTAACAGCATCAACAATCAAACTCATAATTGAATTGTTCTCTTGTTATAAAATATTATCTCGGTGAACAATAAGAAAAAACAAAGTATACTATTTTAATTACTTCTTGTTTTAATGCTTTAAATTACTAATTCATCGTAACTCTTTTAAGTTTTATAGCATGTCATCTTCAAATCAAACAGAACAGAATGAAGGGACCAAAGACGTACGTGTAAGCGACACTGAGAACATAATCCAAAATGTTGTGGAACCGAAACAAATCCTCCCAGAACAATCACAAAGAGTGGTAGCAGATGACACAGATAAGATGTGTACTGATAGTGGTTTTCCCGATGAGTCGGGAGATTATTCGACAATCGAAAATGATCATCTCACTGACGTAAACATGGAAAGTTCTGCTACCGAAATAATTAACAAGGAAGAGGAGGCAAAAAGTTCTGCTACCGAAATAATTAGCCAGGAGGAGGAAAGTTCTACCATCGAGATAATTAACCAGAAGGAAGAAAGTTATGCAACTGAGATAATTAACCAGAAGGAAGAAAGTTATGCAACTGAGATAATTAACCAAAATGAAGAAAGTTATGCAACTGAGATAATTAACCAGAAGGAAGAAAGTTATGCAACTGAGATAATTAACCAAAATGAAGAAAGTTATGCAACTGAGATAATTAACCAGAAGGAAGAAAGTTATGCAACTGAGATAATTAACCAAAATGAAGAAAGTTATGCAACTGAGATAATTAACCAGAAGGAAGAAAGTTATGCAACTGAGATAATTAACCAAAATGAAGAAAGTTATGCAACTGAGATAATTAACCAGAAGGAAGAAAGTTATGCAACTGAGATAATTAACCAAAATGAAGAAAGTTATGCCACCGAGATAATTAACCAGAAGGAAGAAAGTTATGCCACTGAGATAATTCACAATGAAAATTCGTTAATGCAGGTTTCGCATATAAGAAAGCCGATCATAGATTGGTTCTTTCGCTTCTTTAATCAATTTTCCATCCCTCAAATGATCACATCACTGATCAGGAAAAGAAAACGTGATTTTGATGAAGACGAAAATGAAAACCCTCCAAAAATTCCTAAAATATAATTTATAAATTTTCCTGTCCGCTTAACGTTTGAAATACATTTTTACAATTATCAAAATTATTTGGTAAATGAATGTAATAAAATCTCATTTTATAATTGATTTTTGTGTTATTTAATCACTGTATTGAAATCAAGCAGGGCGTCATCAGGACTGTTTATCATTGGCCTCAATTATGAGGAACCAAAAAACGCTACAAATTATTCATTTCTAACACAAATAATATTTCTTTTTAACGGTTTTGTTTTAATATACAGTCAACCCCTTTTAAACAACCACCATTGGTTTTCAGTCCATGGTGGAAAGGCGAGGGTGGCGGTTTATCGAAAACGGCATGAAAATAGGAATGTCAGGATAATAAAAATAACTATTACTTCCTTCATTTATATTTATTGTTTTTCGCTTATAAAAAAACCTGTCCAAAGTATTTGAACTACATTATTTCTTCGAGTCATGGATATAAATGGATCCAATGAGTCAACATGCATCAGATAATGTTTTATTGTCATGGATGTCATTTCATGCCACAATTTTCTAATTAGCCACAGTGCAAATTTCAGAGACCTTTCAATAGGTTTAGTTTGTTTTTTGTTTGGTTAAGGTACAACAACGCAACACCTGGCCGATCTGCCTAGGGAGATGCCTTCCGGGAGGTTTTTTTTTGGGTAACTGGCCCCTATTTCAGGCATTACAGACGAGAAGAAAACCCGGAAAACGCCACATGGCCGGGCAGTCCTGGAGGGGCGCGAACCCACGACCCAACTCCTAGTGTTCTGTGAGCGGAACCCTAATGAAAAGTGGCCACTGGTCACATTTCAATAGGATTTTCATTATTGATGTATTCGATAATTGTATTTGGTGCGTCTGTAGTTAGAATTAAAACTATTATGGCAGCGTAAAGTGGCTGCAAAATTTTCGTGCAATTTACTAGAAAGAATTATATTTCAATATTATTCAGACTCACTGTCTTCTGAGAAGGTTCATTATCAATGAATAGCAGAACCTTAATTTTTGTGACAATAAAAAAATTGTGGTGATTTATCCGAAATATTTTGTATGGGAAATGACTATTCTATTTTAAATCATGGTTGGTAGATGACGGAAAACGGGGTGGCGGTTTCTATTATCGATTTACCATGGAACGAATCGTTTTTCCGGGAATTTTGACGGAAATTCCGGAGTAGCAAATATATGGAGGGGCAGTTCAGAGGGTGTTGACTGTACTGTTGTTTTTAATATAATATTTAATATAGTGAGGATCGCAAAAAGACAGCGACTTGGTATGTTGTACCTAGTGCATGATGCATCAGCGCCACTCCCTAGCACTTTTGTCAAGGAATCTAGTTGAATCGCGGGCGTTTAAAACAATATGAATCAAATAATTAGATTTGGTTTGAAGAATTTCAAATTTGATTAAAATAAAAATCTTAAAATTTATTTTCTGTTTTCATCAAAATTTTAGTAAAAAATCAAGTTAAAGGAATTTTGGTAAAAAATAGATTGACATTTGACATTTAAAGATTACAGAAATAAATTTATCCGAAATTGTTAAGAGACTATAAATGATTCACACAACTAAAAATCAACGTCAACAAAAGAGAGTTTACTTCATCTGATCCATTCAGGGGCAGCAGAGCAAGTGGTCACCAGATGGACAACTGCTAACATAAAAGTCATGTTATGTCACCCTTCTGACACCTGATCAAAGTTCACACACTTTCGGTGATTAAGTACAGGGTGGGAGAAATTCCACGAAATTTGCTACAAACAATTGCTACAGAATTTTATAAACTGTATTAGTTATGAAACTTTCCTTGTATAAACGAATACAATTTATGCTATTGCTCCAATATGCATCTGGCACTTTCTATTTCTAAATATTTCTACTTTTAATCTCAGGATGGAGTAATGATGAAACGAAATCTGGCATGGTAACTTGTATATGAGGCAACGATGCTATTAAATTTTGGTGGTTAAAGTTCAATTAGATAGATAGATAAATAGATAGAAAGGGTGGTATGCGATATTTCAGACCAGTTCAGACTTATTGTGAATGCCAGTGGGTAAAATTTTAATTATTTTTAATAAAATCTCATAACAGCCAATTCGGTTGCACAATTGATTGCTGGATTTGTGTGGATCGTAGGACAGCAGGATAACTGTATGCCTCCAAGTCAAACTGTATTGCTGCATGTATCTAGACAAGATGTCCTACAAGTACTAAAACTTTCTTTAAATTGTATTGTTCCACAGGAAAGTCTCTCTTGATATGAAATTGTAATCATTATTATGTTTGCACTAATAAAGTTTCATTTCGTTGCAACACTGCCTTTGGGATCAACAAGTGAATACCCTTATTAATTAATGTCTGAATTATTCTACTGTTATAAAGCTTCCTGTCTTTGTAAAATAATTATTAAAACATTTCTGATAAACAAAATCATACTAAATTATACATGCAAACATATTATTACTTAAGCAATAATAACTCATATTTGCGTAGTAACAATATAGCAATAATAACTCATCTAATAATAAATTCTTTTTGCATATATGCAAACAATAATTTATTATTTTTGTGCAAGTTCTCTCAGTAGAATTTTACTTGCATTTACATGCTGAAAATTTTGAAAAACTGATTATTATTAAGCACTAATACATATTAAGTGTTTCATAAGAGACTCTTCTGAAATTCTGATCATACTACAAAAAATTTTTGATATCATCTATACTTTATGCTAGATTTTTGTAAAATTAGAAGTGTTTATAACTTTCTACAATAAGGTGACAAAATTAACAAATAATGTGATTATAAATAAACTGGTATTTAATGTACAAAATTAGAATGAGTTAACAATCCAATTTATATAATTGGCAAGGCCACATAAAGTACAGGATATCTGTAGAAGTTAAAAAAAGAAAAAAAATCACAGCATACAAAATCATTCGCAAAAATGACTTAACATCTAATTTAAAAAGATATCCAAACAAATTTTTATTTATTTAATATTTGAAAAGGTACTAATTTAACAAAGGTCATTTCTTTTTCCCAGATTTCTTTATACCACCAACTCCTGCAAAATACATAAAGAAATATGGTTAAAATATGCAAAAATTTGGATATTATAATAGAAATTTAAAAGTTTTAATTTCAAATTATATAAAATACAGGTCACCACTAATTTTCTGACACCTCAATTCCAAAATCTTGCTGGATTATTGATTTTGCCAGATCAGCTAAATTCACATAACTTAAACACAAATCCTGGACCATTAATACCATTAATTGTAAGCCTCTCATGTCTCTAAACATATTTTTAACTCTCTCCATCCTGTTGGCTCTAAGAAGGCTTCTTTTTAGCAAACCTATTATGGATTTGACTGGGACCACAATGGAGCAGCTAGGTGGCAAGGAGCTAGTTCTGGCATACCCAGATGGACCAGGTTTCAAAAAATTCCTGGAGTTCTTCAACCTCTTGATTTTATCCTAGATCCCTCAGAATGGTAGTGTGTCACCTTAGCCATTCAGCCATTTCTAAAGTATTATAAACCGCTAGAAACTTCAATTAAGCATATATTAAATGTACATTTAACACTACTAACATTTGCATCATTTTTAGAAGTAGTTAAATTAAGTAAAATGAGTTATAATCCACATAGTATAAAGGGACTAGAGATTGAATTGAGGGATAAAGCAATGCAACACTAGTGATTTTCCAAGGTGAAGTGCTTACTTTTTATAGTGAACTAGCCTATATTTAGATGTTATACATATGAAGAAAACCCAGAAAATTTTAACTTGGCCAATTTGTTAGTCAGGTCTTATGACCAACTAGTAGTGTTTGGCGGTTTTATCCACTCAGCTATGGGTATGCTACAAAATAAAGGAATCATCAATGACAACATGTCAAATCTAAGTGAATGGACACTACAGAGAATGAAATCTGGACTATTCAATGAAAAAACCTGGCAGTTGTGGGAATTAATTTCCCTCCTTAAATTCTATCTAAATTAATAGGTGTCAGACCATCACGCTAGAAAATCAGTGTTGAACCTGTACCGTACATAAAATAAACAGCAAATAATTACACTTACATTAAACATATTGATATTTTGATGTTAACAATTAATAAGCACAATTCTAATTGAATTAGAATTATCTAACAGTTTGTTGTTAAATTCTAAATATTTTTTAGGGTTTCAAAATATGATTCAATAACTTTCAATGTATTATTTATTAAGCAACATTAAAACACAGTGCATGTGCCAATTGATGACTGCCATCATTCATCCTTCTAACCAAAAATGACAGAAAAACAGATTACAAACAAAAATTTATGATCCATCAGATTTTTCGGACATTAACTGTACAGTTTTTAAGCTTGATTTATTGTTATAATTTGGAAGTAGAGATAGGTGATGCAACTATATAAAAATTATAAACTAAGCAACTGAGAAGATTCAGTAATATTTGTTTATATTTCCAAAATACAAGTTATCATATGGAAGAAAAAGATCATCATGATGCAAAAACATTGAAACCATATCTTAAAAATGTGTTAAATCATATTATTTTGACAAAAAATCACAATAATCACTGTTATTTCAATTTCAATAGCACCTTGAAATACAGAGAAAAGAGTGAGGATAATTTTTAAAAAAATTTTCATTCCTTTAAGAAATGGAGAGAAAGTAAATTTAGAATTTTAATGGATAAAGTATTTAAATTGAAATATATTTCAATTTAAATACTTCATAATTCAATAAGATTCAACATCTAAAATAATATAATATGAACTGATATATTGGGATTAGGGATTGCAATCCAGCAGTGTTTTCAATCCAGCTGGATTTTTGCTGGATCAATATCATTCCAGCTGGATCCAGCGCAGATGTATTTTTGGTGCAATAAAGTGTTATCTATCTATCCAGTAATTTATTGTTTTTTTAAAGAAATAAAACATTTTTTTTTAATATTTAAGAAACTTTTAATATTTAGACTGGTCACTATACAGTAAATCAGTAAAACTTCTTACACATTTAGGTAGTAAACTTAATTTTGGTTCAGTTTAACACTTGAGATAGAGATAATTAACTTTAAATGTTTGATTAGATTATAATTATAATGTAATCTTTAAGTTAAATAATAGTAGAGGTAATTCTACTAATTAATTTATATTAATATATTATATTATAATAATGTAAAGACGGATAATCAGTGGCTAAGTGGCTATCAGTCTTACCAGTTTTCTTATATAGGCTCTACATATCAGTCTGTAGTTATTTATAAGTAATTTAATTATTAGTGTTAGTAAAGTAGTGAGTAATTAATTAGTAGTAGTCTAGTAGTTAGTTATTATTATCACAATCATGAATGATATACATTCATATCATCATATATCTAAGATACTGATACTCATTAATTTAATTAACTATTTAACTAACTAGATAGTCTCAGTTTCTCACTAATTTTAACAATAAAATTGCCTAGCCTAGCCCACTAATCACTTATAGAATAAAAGTTTAAAACTCTTACTTAATAGAATTAGAATAGAAGTTATAAAATATTAGTCTTGTCTTGAATAAAGTATTGTAAAGGATTAAATAAAATTAAATCAATCACTTCTGTTATTATTATTTTTTTTTTTTTACTTTTCTGGAAGTTGGGTCTCAAGAAACAAATGATATTGATGGTGTTGTCTCCCAACATACTTCTTAATGAACTGCATATATATCCCGCTGCAGAGAAGGCTCTTACTGCCTCTATGCTAGTTGATTTCAGGGTCATCAAATAATCATAAAGATAAATTTTTACTACTTTTAAAAAAATCAATTTTTCAAAAATATTTCCTCAAAATTGATGAAAAAACTTTATGGGTTAATTGCACCTAAATAACCCACGATTTTTGCCTGGACCGCATTTAATCAGAGACAAAGCTTTTATTCTTATTCTTTATTTATTTTCTATGCATTTCGGGTGCAATATTTTCTTTAATTTGCACCCCTCTTCAGGATTTTTACATTTCTATAAATTTGGTAAATTTTATTATTACAACGGTAAATTACTACAATAGTTATACAATGGTTAACTAACCTGTTTTAAGTTTTAAGTTTTAGATCGACATCTGCCCAGTGTTGATGTTATGTCCCCTAAGGCATTTTTAGACCGTTTCCTCCTCTTTTTGTTTTCTTTCCCTTTACCTCCTCCCATTTCCTCCCACACGGCGTCAACCTCCATTCCATCATTTAGGTTTATGGTTTTGTTTTTATTAATGATTTCGAAGTGCTCTTTTATAGAAATGTAAAAATCCTGAAGAGGGGTGCAAATTAAAGAAAATATTGCACCCGAAATGCATAGAAAATAAATAAAGAGTAAGAATAAAAGCTTTGTCTCTGATTAAATGCGGTCCAGGCAAAAAAACGGGGGTTATTTAGGTACAATTAACCCATAAAGTTTTTTCATCAATTTTGAGGAAATATTTTTGAAAAATTGATTTTTTTAAAAGTAATATAAACTAAACCGACCATGGATATATACATATCTATTACTTATAGCAGATAAATTTTTACCTTTGACTCCCTCATGTTCATAAACAGCCATTTCCTTTTTTAATAACTTATCATAATCCTTCTCAGTACTAGTTTCGTTTCATGAAGTTTTCTTTCTCACGCTCTAGTTGGATCTCCGATTCCTATTCCAATGTGAAATTCAGGGAATGAATGCGGGTTATCTGGATCATCGTTTTCCGTTTCCATAATATCCTCAGTCATTGCTGCTGGTTCCACTACATATGTATTTACTCGATTCAGCATATTTTTCATCTCCTGGCGCATTACATTTTTTTCGGTATTGTGAAAGAATAATCGTGCTTTCTAACTTTTTGGTTATAGTTTTTCGGGTTCTGTATGTAAATCAGCATCCCTGTAACCTCAATAAGACGCCGTTCTCTGATTCTTTTGCGTCCTGGTTTTTTAGTTTGTCTAAGATAAATTTCAGGGTTGTGTCAGCAGTTATCAAACTCGACTCTCTTCTAAAGAGAGCTTTTACGGCCAGTTTATAGGTTAGGTTTCGTGGACAAGCCACGAGGCTGCAGCTCTCCATAGGCTTAAACCGAGATCATTCCATCACGATTCATTGACGTCACAACTGACCGTAAATTAGAATTATGCACCAGGACTAGGAGAGGAGTTACTTATTTTATTTAGCGCGAAGACACTTTATTTAGCGAGAGTGAAAAGTCAACTGGCAATTAAATCAGCAGAGGTAAAAGGGCAGGCAGCGCGGTGTAGAGAGGGGTTGTAGCATGTGCCACACTGAACGGCAACGTCGCCCTCGCCGCCGAGTGATAGCACACGTAAAAACGCAGCAACACTGACAACGCAGACTTTTGAGCCATTATTTAGAAAGTTAATCGAGTATTTGCGGATCCGCAGCGCTGGATCCAGCAAACCGAAGAATACGCTGGATCCAGCAATTGCAATTCCTAATTGGGATGCAATTTTCAAATCGTAGATCTATAAATTCTCACCATGTCCATCTTCGTTAATTTCAAGAATGGAGTTTGACAAAAATTGAAATGGATATGGAAATCTTAAGTGATTAGAGAACCTGATTAATTTTTAAATTAAAATATCAGTAAAAATTGCAGCCCAGCATTGTCACAATATCACAATAAATAAGATTTTTCTATATTAAGAAAAAAAAGAATATTTCCTTGTGTAATATGCTATTTATGGATAAAGTGAATGATACAACTACAAATATTGCAATTACCAATTGTAATTTATAATTTAGATTAAATTAGATAGCATAATAAATAGGATTATAATAAACTAGAGGGTTTATCACATCAGGGGCTGACTGGAATAAATAGACTAGATTATAATAAAAACTACAATATTTTTGGTATAATCTAGTCTATTTATTCCAGTCAGCCCCTGATGTGATAAGCCCTCAAATTTGTTACAACCCTATTTATTAGGCTATCTAATTCAATTTAAAGTTTGTGGGCTAGAAGCACTATTTAATATTATATAATTTATAGGTTGTACAACATAGGTTAAAAAAATATCATTAAAAATTGCATCAAATTTATGAATTTTATATAGATATACATATGATGTATAATTAGAAACAAAGGTGTAACCAGATGTTTGATATTATCTCATACAACATCAACATTTTTTTAATAAAGAAAAACCTCACAAACTATATATGCAACAATATAATAAAGTACAGTAATAAAATTTTTAAATTGGTATCAAATCAAATTATATCATCTGATCACAATTAACTTAAATCATTGATACAATTTACTTGGTATATAATAAGGAATTAGCTGTGTATGATTATAACTGTTCAATCCTGTTAGAATCAAAATTAAAGTTAAAACTTAAAATTCAACTGAGGCATTTATGAATGTAGAAGTATGAAAGGGGCACGGTAAAAAGAACTTTAAGGAATGTTCCTACTAGGCTCACAAAATTTACTTATAATAGTAGTATGAATACTGTTATGAAAGAAATTGCTAGTCGAAAGGAATCAAGAATGGTTTTAAGAAGAGCCCCTAATTTGTATAAAATCTTGAGAAATGATAAGGATAACATCAAAGCAGAGGAGAAAGCTGGGGTGTATAAGATTCCTTATGGGAACTTACAACTGGATGTTAAAAAAGATTATATCGGCGTCACTACCAGAAACTTGGAAGTAAGGCTCAAGGAACATAGATATGCCATAAGAAAAGCATCTAATTCAACGATTTTGTCACAAATAGCGCAAGCGCAAGGCTCTGAGGTAAAATGGGACGAGGCAACAATCATCAAACCTCTGTCTTCCCCAACTCTAGCAATGATGGCGGAGAAAATAAAAATATACAGAAGTAAGATAGGAGAAGGCTGTTTGAATGCGAGGGATGCGGAGAGCCTACCTTCGGCATGGAAATATTTGGTTAAGAAATTTACTAGAAACTTCGACCAGAATTAGTACATAGAAGATTTATGTTACTTTTGTTTTATTGTTTTATGTTAATTTTTATATATTCTTCCGTTATTTTTTCTCTTGTAAAATTTTTGATTTAAAAATTTTTATGTTCTATTCGTGGAACATTTAAGTTCCAATTTAGTTTTCGACCTGAAGATGGCCTATTAACTAGGCTGAAAACGTTTGTTTTTTAAAATTATATTTATTTCTTGGCAAAAAAAGGTGTTTTGTTTCTCTTTATTTAGTTGCTGAGTGCTTTTGATATAACTTGACTATATACACTTCAGTACCCTACAGAACGAGACAAACACATGTCTACATGTTGGTAGTCACACACAAAAAGAGGGTTTAACAGGTTTCTTTTGTCTCTTTTTTTGTTTTTGGGGTTTAACATAGCATTGCCACTTTATATTCTGCACATAATATATTTATTTTCTCTCCACTAACATTATGATATGATATTTATTAAAATCTGTATTTGTTAAAATCTTACCCATTGGTCCTTTCTGAGATGCTTTCGCTGCAGCTTCTTTCAAAGCTTTTTGGTCTTCCTTTAGTTTTTGTTTAAATTGTGCATCTTGCTAAAAAAAAATGTAAAATGTTATCTCATTAAATAATGCAATTTAAATCAATTATTAGTTGTATTTAACAGTATTATAAAAATTTTCAATGCATAAGTTTTTAAGCAATCAAAATATGATAACCATTTTACAAAGGAAACACATATTTAAGTAAAATTTCTAAAATTTATTAAATATGAAACATTTAATGACTCCTTAATACTCTAGCAAAAATGACTTATTTATAATGAAATACTTACACATCACTTTTTTAAAATAATTTTATTTTATTAAAAGGTAAGTCTTGTTCAACAGCACAATCCTTTTATAAAACATCTATTCAAACAAGATCATGCCAATACATACATATGACTTCATTCAAATAGATGAAGTAAAAATACAAAATTTTGCAAATAATCTAAATAAGAATATTCAATTTGAAATAGAACTCGAAAATAGAGGTTGCATAAATTACTTAGATATAACAATAAATAGAGGCAATACAGGAGTTACCTTTAGAAAATATGAAAAAAATCGTACTACGTCTAAAACAATAAATTATAAGTCATACTGTCCTCTTGAAATAAAAAAAAAGAATAATTTCATTACAGCATTAAAGAAAATCTACACATGTACAACATATAAAAAGGAATAGACTAGAAGAAGAAGCTAAGTTAAAGATGATGTTTTCACTAAATGGCTTTCCTAATAGAACAATATAAAAATGGACAAGAGAATACAAAGTTATGAATTAAAATTTAAAGAATTAAAACATATATCTTTCTTCTATATTAGAATTTTTAGAAAGGTTTCTATAGAATTAGCAGCTAACTTAAAAAACAAATTTAAAGAATTTATATTTACTAAACAAAATAAATTGGAAAAATCGGGTGTTGTATATAAAATGTTATGACATGCGAAAAAAGGTCTATTATATTGGAGAAAATGGAAGAATGTTGGAAAAAAAGATAAAAGAATACGATGCATCCATAAGGTTACAAAATACCCAATTACCTTGGTTTATACATTGTAGTAAAAATAATTGTAAAATTAATAAAAATATTATTAAAATTCATTTTCTAGAAAAGATATATATTTAAGAAAATTTAAAGAACACATAAAAATAATGATAATTTAATTAATTTGAATAGTTGGGATGTTAATAGATGACTTCATATATAAAAGGATATTACACGATACAGGATGATTGTTCCTGTGACTGATTTCGATGAATATGAATTATTGGTGTGGGCTTTATCATAGATTGTACCTGTTGTAAAATTTTGCACAAACTATTTTAAGACATTTATTGATTTTATATCTTTCTGATCAAAATTTTTAACTGTAAATTTACAAAACAATTTTTTATGTTTTGTAGACTGAAGAGGGATTGGCAAAAATGTTCAATCTGAAATTCATATAAATAAAACATCTGGAAATTAATTGTTTCTGAACAATTCTTGAACTTGGTTGAACATCAGATTTGAAGGACAACAATTTATTTGTTCATCCAAAAACCCCTTTCAGTTTCTAAAGTGATGTTGTAGAGTTTCCATGATATCAAAGTCAGTGTCAGAAAAGAACAAACACAAGGGATAAAGTTGATTTTCAATTTAAAAAGTTTTTGATTCATCCTTCATCCAATATATCTACAATCCCTTAATGTTGTGGAAGGTATTAATATTAGTATACCTTGTTGCCCAATTCATACAAAGTTGCATTGTAGTATCTTCTAATTTTAGCCACATCAGTAGAATCATCCAAGCAATTGTTTTCAAAAGCACTGAAAATTGTTATACCAACTAAAAATCCATTTTTAAGTTCCTTGGATAATTCAATGTGGAACTAGTATATCTTTTTTATTGGTGTATTTCTGCTTTCATTGTGCAATGCTTATTATTTTCTTTTTAATGCTGAACTGCACAACTCTTAAATATGTATGGAAAACAATGGTCTACCACTGAATATAATTAGAAATCAAAATCTGAATCCCTTGGTTAGTTTCATTTGATGGAATGTGGCAATACAACACAAGTGATCTGCTATGGATAATGTTTCTATGGGAAACCAGCATGTATTTGTGTTTTCTTCATGTTAGACATAAAGAAAACCCAAAAATTGAATGCAGCCAGCCCATTGGCAAGGCACAAACCCAGGACAATCTACCAATGTTCATTGGCTGAAATGAATATGTTTTTAATGTGAATCTGATACAAAATTAACATTCTTGGATAGGTACAGTAATTTGGATTCTTAACAACAAAATAAAGGCAAGCAACAACAACAACAAATTTAGGAAAAATGATTTAAATGAAAACAGAAATTGCATGTTACTATCAAATAACAGTCAGAAGAATTTAGCTTCTTAACAATAGTTTAGTAAAAGAAAGAAAAATTAGCAATACACAGTAGCTACTAATAACAACAGTTTATTTTATATCATTGTTAAGAAAATGTTTAAAAATTATTGAATGAATGTGATATAAATGAATGAAAATTATTAAATGAATGTGCATCATAAAAAAAGGAATTCAAAACCTTCAAGATCAAAAAAGAATGTTTGTTTTTGATCCATTATGACTGCAGCACCCACCCCATAGCTCGCGAACAACGTGTTGCTTGTGTACAGTTTGAATGTAGCCCACTGCTCGAGTATTCAGACTCATCAAGTTTATTAAAAATTAAATAGTTTTATAAGTTATATATTTATGTATAATTTTTAAACGTATGTTAAATTTTTATTATGACTTAATGGCCACTAATAAAATTTATACAGTGAGTGATCGGTTAACAAACAGTTCGGATAGTGAACAAATCGGACAACAAACACTTTACTGAACAAACATAAAAAGAAGCGACAGAAAATAACAAATACCGATTGATTTTCCCTTGTTGTCAGGTAACAATTCAAAACCTTTCGGAGTGCGGGAGATGTCAACGTCGACACTCAACCAAATACTGATCAGATAGTATTCCTCTGAATTTTGAAACTCTCCCTTGTAATTCCAGTTTTTTTGTTTACCTTTCTGATAAAATTTTTTATAGTCTTTGCGAGACTGTTGGACGGGCACTTGTTAAGTTTTGTGTTGGATTTATTTACGAAAGGTGAAAGTTTAACTGTCCCATCAAATATTTGTTAACGGTTTAATACCAAATTTCGAATTTCATCCGGGCCTTGCATTTAAATAATTTGATTTCTAGTTGATTTCTGTTCACTGAATTTTTGTAAGTGCTTTTCTGAACTCTTATTTAAGAAAGAAACTGATAATATTATGGCGCCTAAAAAGAGGAGTGTCAAGAACTGTGCTCACCGTAGAAACCAAGTACGAGATAATAGCCAAGGTAGAAAGTGGGCATAAGATGTCTGATGTTGCTAGGCAGTATGGCTCAAACAGGTCTACAGTAGGCACAATCTTAGCTATGAAAGATATATCAAGAAGTCTCAAACTGCTAATGGAGTAATGAAAATCACATCTGAGAAATAAGAAACATTGAAGAGCTCATAATGGAACCTGAAACTGATCTGACAACAGAAGAACTCCAAGAACTCTCAAACAAAAAATACCAAGGAACTCAGCAAGATGTGTTTTCTTTTGAAAAAGGAAGACAAAAGAGGACCAATGTCGACATCTGCTACTAAAGATCTTTTGAAAAAGTGGGAGGATGTCAGAACAACGATCAGTGGCATCCAAACCAGAATAAGGTTAATGGGGTTGGGGATCTCTACATTTACAATACTATTAATTACTTCCAAAAAATCCTAAAGAAAAGAGAAAAGCAATTGAATCATTGGACAGATTCTTTAACCCCCACAAACAAAAAAAACATGACTAATAAAAGACTGCATATATATGTATTTTTACTATTATATATAAATAAATGTAGTAAAAAAGTATATATTTTTTATTTTTTGGAGTCTCTGGAACAAATTAATCAAATTCCCATAAAAACCTATGGCAAATAGATAATCAGTTAACAAAGTCTTGGAACAGATTATGTTTGTTAACCGATCACCCACTGTATATATTATATAAATTAATTTTTTATTAGTGGCCATTTAGGTCATACGTCCTTTCCAGGAGATGCTTAACAATCAGCTAGCCTTGAACAATGCACGCTTGACACCTCCTACCTATCTCCTTCCCCTTAATGCAGTGAGTTAGCATTGATTACAAATGCAGTATATGTATATTTTTTAAATAGTGGTTGTATGTTTTTCTTTTCATACTATTTAACATGTTTCCTATTTACACAGAACAAATTTTGAATTTGTGTATGAACTGATGGATGGTTTCCACCAGGTATAAAAATGTTTGTTTGATTTATTTTAAGGGTTAATATACTAAAAATTATATTTATCCTATAATTACCCTAATTATGTCTGAATATGAGCTGGAGAAAAAGAAAAAATGGACACACACTTACAATTTTCAAGAAGATTAGGAAAAGAAATATATTTTTTATTTATTTTAAGAACAAGTGTATTTGTTTGATTTGCTGTTCAACAGTTGCTATTAGAAAAAAGTGCAATGTAAAACATTTTACAACAGTTCATAAAAATATGATACTGAATAACCTATTAACAGCAATTTAAGATAATCTGAAGTAAAAAAATTGAAAATCACATTAGTTGCCCAACAATCTATATTTATTAAGTCCATGACTAAATCAAGAGCTGCTACAATTCCTTCATTTAATATTCCACATATACTTGCAATGCACAAAAAACCCTTTTATGACGGCAACACAATTAAAGTAGTAATGCTTGCTGCAGCAGAAACATTGTTTCAAGAATTTGAAAATAAGAAGGAAATTATATCAGTTATTGAAGATGTTTAATTGTCAAGAAATTCAGTTATTCGTAGAATATAAGCAACGTCTGAAAACATCAAATTATAAAGAAAAAAATATTTAGAAAAATGCATTTTTTTAAGTTTACAATGTGATGAATCAACAGATATCTGCAATATTGCTCAAATAAATATTTTCATAAGGATAGTCTTTAATGATTGCTCAGTAAAAGAAGATATAATCTCAGTTTTGCCACTACAAGAAAATACATGTGGAAAGGACATATACAAAGTTATTAAAAACTACATTAAAAAATTAATCTGCACTTCAAAAACTTGTGTCCATAATAACTGACAGAGCACCTGCCATGATTGGTTCCGCTGTTTACTTCATCACATTATATAAAAATGATAGTGTTTCCAAATTTTTTTCATTATCACTGCATCATTCATTCATCAACAGGCATCATGTACAAAAGTATTGGATTATGAACATGTCATAAAAGTTGTTCTAAAAATTGTAAATTCTATTCAAGCCAGACCACTTCAGAGCAGATTATTCACAATACTGACTGATGAACTTGATGATAAGTATGACACTTTAATGTTACATTCTGAAGTTAGATGGCTTAGTAAGGGAAAAGTTCTACAATGATATGTACAGTTTCTTCCACAGATAAAACTTTTGTAGAATCTAGAAACGAAACTTATGATCATTGCTGGGTGTCAGATTTATCCTTTCTTATTGATATAACAATCAAAATGAATAAACTCAATCTTAAACTTCAGAGGAAACAAACAACTCTTTTTGAATTAAGTTAATAGGAAGTGTAAATGCATTTCAGTCAAAATTAAATGTGTGGATATCCCAAATTAAAGAATGTAACTTCACCATTTTCAAAATTTAGAGAAATATATTCATAAATATAAGGAAATTTAATCACATAAATATTCTGAAAATCTCACTGAACTTAAAAATAATTTTGAAATTAGATTTTCTAATTTTTGTAAAATTCAGCCAATTATTTCATTCATTTTAAATCCATTTGTTGATATTAATTAGTATTTATGAAATATCACAAAAGATTGAAAGTATGTTGAATAAAAATGAAAATATTGTGGTTGAGAGAAAATATTCACTTATAAAGGAAACTTCAAAGGTTAAACTCCTGCTTTGGATCAACTTACCTTTCTGAAACTGGCTTTCTGACAATGAAATTTTAAAAATCAAAGTTCAGATCCAGAGTAACAAATGAGCATCTGAATAATTGTTCCTTATGTACCAAAGTACAATATACTGGCTGAAGATATGCAATGTCAGTCTTCATATTGGTTATTAATAAGTTTTGTTTGTCCTGTATTGTATTTAATTTGTAGTAGATTACTAGTAGTAATAAATAGTAGTAGTGTAATATTATTGCTTTCTTTTACCTATTGTTGATGATTTTTTCAAAAAAATGTTGTTTTCTTATATGTGGCTCAACTTATAGTTTTTAAATTCTTAATTTGCTCGAGATAAACTAAAGGTTGGGCACCGAAGCTCTATGATACATATATATATATATAAGAAACATTAAAATCAGAGAAATTTAGATGACATTCCTTGTTATTTGTACAATAATTTTAAAATACTAATAAAATTATGTACATTTTAAAAATAAATTCTTTTTATTAAAGATATTTGAAATTTAAACTGTAAGGTTTTAATTTACCTCATCCTCTTCAGATCTTTCTTTCTTGCCTTGTTTTAATGGTTTCTTTTTTCCTCCTGAACAAAAATTATATACATTTAAAAAAAGTCTTAATTTAATCATATAATTATAAAAATTATTNTTTTTCTTTTTTATAACTCACTATATTCAATTTATTTTTCACATTATTGCACAACATAATTACATTGTGTAAAAAAAAAATCTAATGTGACTCAGTTTTGTTCATTATAGGAAGAGTGGACCTTTATGTGCAAGCCAGCATAAGAGATTCAAGTCTGAATACAAATTCTCCACTAAAATCTAAATTATGATTTGAATTGAATCTTAAAGATCTTTTAGTATACAACCATTTGGTTGACTAAAGTAAATATTATGTAGATTTAAAAGCCTGCTTATTATAAGTAAATAGAAATATGAGAAATTTGTCAATTACCAACAGTATACTGGATGAATGTACTAAAATAACCACAGAAATCATCAAAAACCAGCAATAAACAAGAACAGAATACAGATTTAAACTAGAACAAACAAAAAATGTTGTAGAAGAGCCTGGTGCATCTGTCGTGGAAGGCATAAGAAATAAATAAACTAAACGAAAAATAAAAAATTTTATGAAAGTTAATAGATTATTCATAGGAAGGCATAAAAAAATTATATCTTGTTATGCTTTCCTATATCTTCTGCATTAGACATATGCCTGGCTTCTTGTCCATAATGGTTTTTTGTTCTTTCTAATTTAAATCTGTATTCTGTTCAATTTTAGAAACCTGATGGCGACTTAAAAACAATGGAAAACATTTGCTTTTGCATTAAATTTCTTGTTTATTGCTGGTGTTTGGTGATTTATGCGGTATTTTATGAAAAATTTGTTAAGCTACATAAAAATTTTAACACAAACAAGCAATCATTTATTGTGACATTATCACAATGCTGGGCTGAATTTTTAACCATATCTTTAGTTTATTTAATTTAAAATATATTCTTTCCTCCTCAATTTAGTAATGGCATGACCCTGTACATCATACTTTCCTGCTAGCGATAAAGTTGTGCTGGTCATCTAACTCCTTTCAGGAAGAAATTTTTAAATTGAAATAATGTAATAGACTTCCAGTACAAACTGGAAGTTTATATATAGTTAATTGGTGCTTCCTGCCCCTAAGCTTTCTCCATTTGGTCTTGACTTTCATCTATCTGACTCCATTCTTGAGATTAATGAAGGACAGACAAGCAGACTGACACACAGTGGAAATTTATAGATTGTGAGACTCAGCACTACCTAATTTATTTATGTAACTAAATCATAACATAATGTTATGACAGTAAAATTTTGTCAGATAACTGTCAACTTTTGCACATGGGAGTAAATTTCTCCAAAATATAAGAAAATATTTAATGCATTTCTCCTGCTTCTTTCCCCAATAATTATCTTCTTATACACCACTGACAGAATATTTGTTTAATAAAAAATAAGTTAAAAGCTATCTTTCTACCATTTAGTTTACATACCGTATTTAAGCAAGATTAACAAATTTCAATATTCTAAAAGTTTACAATTTTTAAATATGAAGATTTCAAACATTTGAAGGCTTCGGATTCAAAAATTTTACTAAATAAATAATACAACAATGGGATTGGTTATCCTAAATATTAAAATAATATATTCTAAAAAATTTTTCTTTAAAAAATCTCTTAAGAAATAACAAGCAAATGAGAAACAATCGAAGAATCCTTTAGAAGTAGCAGGAGTCATATATAGGCTGATGTGTACATGTACAGAACAGAAATATTATATTGGAGAAACAGGAAGAAAACTTGAAGACTGAAAGAGCATGAGGTGGCAATCCGACTAAACAGAACTGAATTCCAGTGGCAACAACACTGCAGTATAAAAAACTGTATTACTGACAGAAATAATACTAAAATATTGTACAAAGTAAAAAATCGCATAAAAAGACATGTTATAGAACATTACTGTATCAAAGGATATGTAAATTGTATTAATTTAAATACCAACGCATGTGTTGATGCAATCTAGGATAGTTAATAGAGTATAAAAGTATTGGCAATGTAAGATTGTAACATCCACTGATGAGGCTGATAAGCAAATATATATGGATAAAAAAGGAAAAATAAAAATAAAGTGAGAAATACTAAATAAGTTTCTAGTCCATCTGTTTTTAATTCTATCGAAATCAAATTTAAAAAAGTGATTTTCGCTTATTATTTCTTAAGAGATTTTTTAAAGAAAAATTTTTTAGAATATATTATTTTAAAAATTTTACTGTTTAGAAGAATATTGATTTTAAATTTGTTTTAATTTATATACTGTACACTACATTCTAAATTTGAAATTTTAAACTGAGAATAGTCAGATTTTGACTGAAAATTTCTTTAATAAAAAAGATGACTTCCTGAAATTAGCAGATTTAAGCTTATTTACAAAGATGTTGCCAAATTTTATAACATCATTTCATATTTCTAAATATATTTCATTATTTATTTTTACTCTTTTAATCATATCATCATATTTCTCAAATACACTCATAACTGGTAATTATCCTACTTTTCCTTCTTTCTTTAAAACATTCCATTTTCCTCATGTTTATTTTCTTCTTTTAAAAAGTATTTTACAACAACTATTTTTGATTACATATTATATATATATATATATATATATATACATGCAAATGCACACATACATTTATAATATGTATTATATATTAATGTTTGAAATAAGGCATTCTTATGTGTTGGAGTTGAGTTATGAATTAATAGCTCCTGAAGATGAAAGTACAGTACATAAGTACTCAGAATTAAATAATAGAATTATAAATTGTTTGGACTACAAGAAAGTCAGTTTGGTTCATTACAATTATTGAAGTTCGGAGTCATTAAATAACGTACTCCAAGAAGTTTAGAGTCGGGATTTGTAAGATGAATAAAGTTTTTTTATAATTGATATACTGCCCTTTCACTCTGAAGTGCTCTTTCATTAATCTACATTAATTATTGTATGAGGTTATTTAGATTATTAAGAATGAGAAGTCTAGAGTCTGCCCCTGAAAAATTTTTGAATTATAATGTATCAGTACATACAAAACAGTATTAAAATGTTTGATATTTAAACATTACATTAAATAATTTTCTAAACAATATAAATAATCAAACAGAATTTTGTCATTTGGAACAATAGACAGAGATAGAACAATCATTTGGAACAATAGACAGAGATAGAACAATCATTTGGAACAGTATACATATATATGATGAATTAATCTTTTTCCCAAATTAGTCTTTGATGAATTTTTCATTGAACAACATACTTTATATTTGGTTTGATGCAAACTTTACTTCTGGGGAGACTATAACTCACTTCATACAAAATTCTCTGTTAAAAAACATACAAGCAACTTTAACTTGTACCATACTGCATGCAGTATAAATATTCTTGTTCAGTGACTACATTGCATTAATGTTGGATCTTTGCCAAAACATTATTTAATTGTTTACTCTTAATATGACAAATCCATTGTGTCTAAGTACCATAACATAGTTGATACACCCGTAAGGTAATATGATTTATTTTTAACATTTTTATCACACAGTGTCTGTTACAAAAAAATTGAGTTTTATACTTTTGTTGATAAAATTAAAACTCTTTAATGAAATCAAATCTCTTTAATTTCTTTATAAATACAGTATTTGTTCATAAAGTACATATATAATAAATAGTTAATATGCACAATATATTTTTTAGTTTAAGCAAGGCACTGAATCTATGAGCAAATGCAAATAATTTAAATTATATCTATCTAATTTTTTATATTGCTCTGTTTTGGTTAAAATCAGTTCACAGAGCTGCTGCTTAACCACTCTCCATACATTGTCTATGAAGATAATGTCTGGTGAGCTGCAGACCACAAGATGACATCTAATCCATCCTTCAAACTAAACCAGTTGCAGTTGAAATTTGAAGGTTTCATCATCTCAAATCCATTTCTTCACTTGCTTGATGATTGCTGGACTTGTTATGTCAACTAAACCAATAAATTACACTCCAAAACGGGAATATCTTACAAAAATACAGATACAGATCTAAAACCAGCACAAATTAACTCAAAATAGTACTTTTACTAATGTGTGTGTGTCTATGTTTATGTACGATATTCCAGTTTTGGAGCTTAATTAATTAACAAAAGGTGGCTTTGTCAGCCAATTTCTATCATAAATGTGTTCTAATGTATTATACCTGAGAATGTCAGATAGACACAAATGTTCGTAAAGTACTATTTTGAGTTAATTTCTACTGGTTTTAATTGAACAAATTCCTCGATCGAAGTTGTTCATTCTTCAATAGCACTACAGTACTTTTCAGTTATCTAATTCTGTTGACATTATTATTTTTCATTCCATCAGCAAATAAATAAAATGACAAAAATTTTGCTGACTCATCAAAAGTATATTACATACCTTATAAATAGAGGGCAATTTATTTTAATTTCAGTCCATAGTTTTAAAAAATTATTATAATTTTGCTTAAATATATCAGTGGCTCAATTTGTTTGTAAGAGATTGTATTTTACACTTAATATAAAGTTATTTATATATTCTAAAGTAGTATAATTCAGTTTTACTGTAAAGCTTTTAACTCGCTTAGTATCTTCACTTCGACCTTTACCATTTGATAACTGGACAGCCAAGTGGCTAAGGTAAACCTATCACCATAGGAGATCCAGGATCGAATCTCGACGGGTTGAAAAACACCAGGAGTTTTTCAGGGATTAGTCTGTCTACATACGCCGGGCCCCGTCTCTCACCACCCGGCCACCCCATTGCAGGCCTGGCCGAGCCCGCAACGGGCACCCTAAAAAGAGGCTCTCTTACCCCCGTATTCACCAACGCGAGTTAGAGTTAGAGTTAGGGTTAACTCTCAAGTTATTGGTAAATTAGAGTTAGTGTGTAAATTAGAGTTATTGTGTTTGACTCGAGATTCGGAGTTGGTGAATACCAACTCCGAATCTCGAGTCAAACACAATAACCCTAACTCTAACTCTAACTCTAGAAAATCGGCGAGTAGACAATAACTCTAGGTTTCATGCTTGCGCAAAGCAATCTATTTCAAAGAAAAATGGCGACTCTCAACTAGGACGAAGCCAAGATGCTAGAAAATATAAAATATCTAGATTATATAGATCATACGGAACGAAGAAGTCGGCAGATTATTTCTCCAAGAAGAAATGATCTTGAACAATTGGACAATTACGACGTTCTATGTCTATATCGTTTGCCAAAAGAGAGTGTAAGAAACATACTAGAACAAATTGGTCACAATTTAGTTTCTACTTAATCCAAAAATTATCCGACGTCGCCGATGGAACAACTGTTGTTGGTTCTACGTTTTTATGCCACAGGAACATTTCAGTTCGGCATGCACTATTTTCCATTTCACTTTCCGCCATTTTCTACACATGTTTGCTTTCAACCAATCAAGATTCTACTTACGAAAGAAGACTTGTTTAATCTCGAACGCAGGATTGTTTTAAAGCATTAACTCTAGAGTAGCGAAACTCTAGAGTTATACTTTTATCTGAATACGAAAGAAGAGTAACTCATAATCTGACTTCAAGTTATATCTAAACTTGAGTTCGTCAACTCTCTGTTTAACTCGCATTGGTGAATACGGGTGTTAGTGCTTGCAGAGCAAAGAGTTAAAAATAAACCATTTTGTTGACACTTTTAAGTTATTTACAGTACTGCATAAAATAAATAATTACTTATTGTGATTTTGTCACAATGCCAGGCTGCAATTTTTAATCATATTCTCATTTCACAATAAGCTTTCCATATCTGGTCTCTTGTTTTCACATATCTAACTCCATTCCTGAAAAACTTTTGAACTGAAATCATGTGACTTCTGTTCCACATTAGAAATCTGTATATAGTTAATGTATATAATACTGTAATTTACTAAAATAATTTAAAATTTCCAATAGATCCTGTTAAAAAATAAATAAATACCTAAAAGAATATCAATGATATACCAACGATATAATTAATTACCTTGCCTTCCGGACATTTTTTATTTCAAGAAAATATAAAATCTGCTTCTCACACGTCTAAACTAAAACACACAGCAAACACACCGTGAAGCACGCAGACATAAGGAATGAAGCGACCTCTAAGTAATTTATACACTTTATTTTTTAAAAAAAAATATATAAAATTAAATTTTAAATGGTAATGATTAAAATATATTTTATTATTTTATTATAAATGGTAAAAATTGGTTTGAAATTAATATATTCTGATATAAATATGTCTTTCATTTTTGTGGTATTTTTTTTTTTTTTACATTCGTTTCGAATTGAATATTTTGAAGATTAAAATGGTTGATAAAGAAATATTTCTGTTATTTGAAGTAGTAATATAAATTAATGATATTCATTATAATTTTAATATAAATATTTAAACATTCATTATGTTTGTTATTTCTTGTCATGCAACATTCAACACGCAATTATATAGTCAAGTCTAATTTCCGTCATTTCTGAATAGACCAGACCTCAGCGGCCGGATGGCCGAACGGTTATGGTGGCAACTTGCCGCTCTGGGGGATCCGGGATCGAATCTCGGGATCTATTCTGAGTAGTATCGTTAAGCTAACAAATACGATAAAAACTATTTTCTATCGGAACCACGTGATTCGCGTTTAATCAATTATGAAATAAGTTTCATTCGCATATGTATAAATTAACACTAATGGAACGATGGAACGAGACAACGCTTGCTTATTGGACTTAACTTTGTGCAATTACCATACCTAAACCATTGAACATTTCTGAAATCTCTCTTCACCAACATCATCTAGAAGGCATGAGTTTTATTTCCATACCTGAACTATGTACAGTACATTCAGCAAACATTGTCTTCGTTGTCTACCTTCATGCTATTTCTCATTAATTGCAATGAGGAATACAAAATTATAATTTAAAATGTCATAGTTTTCGAAGTTGTAGCATCAGCGCGCTACAAAGAGGTATATATCGCATGTATCGCACGATATTGCTAGCTTGCTTGTTTGTTAAGTTATGGCAACGCAACACTTGGGCGATCTGGCTAGGGGGAATGCCTTCCGGGAGGACTTTTTAAGGGAAACTGGTCCCTATTTAGGCGTTACAAACGTGGAGAAAACCCGAAAAACTCCACGTGTTCAGCCCGTCCGAGTGAGACGCAGGACAACTATTATAGGTTAATTATTTCTTAGGAAAATTGTCATTATCTACTCATACTTCATTCAACTGTGTACAAAAGAAAAGTACAGTAATTATGTATTAATTTTGTAATTGTTTAATTTGCTATTATTTTATTTAGTAACATGTTCTGTGTTTGCTCCGAATAAATTGCATAATCACTATATGCAGTTATGTTATATTTTCAACTATTGTTAAATATATTCTTTTGCAAAAAATGAAAGGGAAAAAAACCTAAATACAATGAGACTAAGAGACTGTCAGCTAATTTACTGAGAATGTTTCTAAACGTCTTTTATAGGTATGGGCAATAATTTGTGACCAATTAAATTCGACAGGTGAGATTATAGTGACAAGCAGCAAACGGACAGCAAAGTGGACAGGAAATGGAGAGGATTAAAAAAAAACATTTAAAAATATAAATGATCACAATAATAAAACGGGAAACAATAGGAAGTATTGGGAATACTTCAGTATTATGGAGCGCGCAATAGAGAGAGAAGACCGGATGTAACTCCACTTGCCACATACGATAGCAGTCGAGGATTGATGTCATCGTCGTCATCTAATCCAATACTAAACGACTCATCGTCATCTAATCTGACACCATCAAATGACTCACCATCGTCATCTAATCCAATACTAACAAAAGACTCATCGTCATCTAATCTGACAACAACAAATGACTCGTCATCGCCTTCTAATCTAATACCGTCAAATAACTCATTATCATCATCTGCAATGACTACAGAGCCTTTGTCAAATAGAAGAAATAAATGAAAACGGGAAAAAAGTGTGTCCGAATGGGTTAAAATTTAAACGCACCCATAGTGACCAGGGTGATAGGGTTCAGTTTGGATTTGTCATTCTTTTGAATCAGACGTTTGCTTGTTACTCCCGGTAAGTACTGTACATGTGTTTTTACATTTTATAGATAGAAATGTTTACATAAACTTTATAAGAGAATTTGTGTATGTAATGTAATTATATATCGCGAAATTTTCATTTTCTTTTCTGTATCTAACTCTTAAATTAATAATTCGAACGATAAGTACAGTGGTCGTGTCCTATATTGTCCAAACTGTAATAGATTAAACAGCGAGAGAAAAATGTGGTAAAATTATACATTTTTATCATTACACGTTATCTGTTAAATTGTTTTTTGTTAGACAAACATTTGATAGACATTTCGTTAAAACTATAATTGTTTACCATTACGGATTTTCTGCTTAATTTTTGTTTTAAGAAACACACATTCGATAGTAATGTTCAAAACACATAGAATTTTATGCGTCGACCGATATAAAAAGAGCTATAAACAAAAAATTCATAGGACAACCGATCGTTTCAGCCGCCATTGCTTAAGCTTGTTTCGATGGTGGAGTATGACAATGGACAGCGGTATTACCGGAAACGTAACGAATGCAATATCTATCAAACTGTGATCATCCTTAATGTCATCCTATCGAAATTTCATCTCGATAGAATGGCATTAATTAACCCGTGCCGACTTGAACACGTAACTTGAATACGAGGATGAGTTACGTGAAGGATATTAATCAATAGTAAAAATATCAATAACGAAGAAATATAAAAGTTTTTGATAAAGTTGTTGTTTGTAACATTTAATTACAAGATTAGAATATGCTGGGCATACTTTCTCTTTGATGCTTCTGGTTATAGCTTTCGATGATCTTGCACACAAATCAATGCTGGGCATTGATTTGTGTGCAAGATCATTTGTATGCAGCCTTTTGTTCTTTATCCACAGTCAATAATCCGTGAAAGTCTTGCAATAATTTATATAATACAGACTTTTCTGTTCGGATATAAAATAATTCGTTCGAAACAATATGTGAGATTCGAATAGCGCCTGGGTCTAATTAACAATTTAAATATAAGGCTAAAATTATGAAGTAAAATATTCTCTCATTTTGGGTGTGAAGTTATCATTTTCTAACGTGAGAAAACTGATAAAAGAGCCACTTCCTTTAACGGAAAGAGACACATTCTTTTGTTTTCCAGTTATCTATCACAAATCTCACCACCCTGGGAATTGTCGACCCCTCAACAATTCCCCTTCCCTCCGGTCACGTGAAAAAATACAAAAATGCTGATTGATCACAAATCATGAGATATAGTCAAAGATCTACATGATTCGGGGAGTACGTCAGATCTCATAGACGACAGACGTAGTCCATATTTGCTCCATAAGGCCAATGCCCTTAGTCGTATCAAATCGAGTATAATAATGAGTTAATTTAGGAGAAAAGAAGAAAACTTTTAATATTGTGCCAAATCAAGACCTCTCCATGAAATGAAGTACGAACATAGAATACAGATGAACATAAAGACAAAGTAAACCTTGAGGTAGTATGATTATCAATGAATTTGTGAGCTCTCTCTCTCGAAGCGTATATTTTAATTGAATCCATACTCTCTTCGTCGGTAATATTTAATTGTTGAACCTTTCAATTTTGTGTAATTTTGTTTACCTTTCTTTGATTAAATTCTTTTATTATTTGTTAATTAAAAGATGTCTCCTATTCAATATCTGAATGAAATCCGTATTATCTCCATACGCGTGTTAATCCGCGAAATGGTAAATTGATTAACTGGTGTCGGGAATCCTGACGAGGGAAAGAGTGATTACGAAATCCTCAAATCCCGCTTTCTAAATTTACTTAAACTGTAAGTCCCTCCGCCCTCGATTTTCTTTGAATTAGGAAAAGCCATTCTTGTAGACGACCCGAGAACTAGTTTCAACAACTAGCCGCCGATTAAGTGATACCGAGTAATAAACTACTCCGTACCCACGGCTAGAATCTCACAAATACATGTAAAATGCGTTAGAGTAGCTCTTCTGAAATTTTCATATTCACCGATCGGTAATTTCACAATTTCACTTGTGTTAAAGTACACAGGTGCGAATTTCAATCGTCACAGGTAAAGGGTATGGTGTTTTTTTTATGAATTATTAATTTGGTTAGTGTCTGTAGCGTGTTAGTGAACGGTTAAAATAATGAATAGTGTTAATACTTTCTGCCCCCACTTATTTTTGAATAATATACAATTAATTATGATACTTTCATAGTATGAAAGCATTAAATAATGACAGCGAAATTTAAATATTACACATATAAAGCATTAGAAATAAAATTTACCTTGAATAAAATACACAGATACAGCAGAGTTGCGTTACAGAACCGTTTACCTAATGATAAGAACATTATGTCATTTGGGTACTGATTCAAAAAGTTTAATTAAAAAACTTAAAATAACTTTATTTTCTCTGTAAGGTTTACACATGTATCTAACAAGTTAAAATAATACTGTATATACAATAATACTATTAAGTAATACAAGACTAAACCACAAAAGAATAGATTTCATTAGGGAAAACGTACTGTACACGATACTTAAAATTTTAATATTTCCTATTCTAAAAATTCTAGAAAACTTTTAATATTGCTGCACAAGAAATTTAATAATTTATTTTTTTTTTTACGGAGTTAATCCAGAAAAATAAATCGTTGTCATCAAATCTTGAGTTGTTGAATGTTACGGTTTTTTTTGTTAAGTTATGGCACCATAACACTTGGGCGATCTGCCAAGAGGGGTTGCCTTCCGGGAGGTCTTTTAAGAAAAACTAGCCCCTATTTAGGGATTACAGCCGTGGAGAAAACCCAGAAAACCCCACGTGGTCAGACCGTCCGAACGTGACGCGAACCCACCACCGAACTTCCAGTGTTCAGAGTATGAAGACCGCTTAGACACTGGTAGGCTAAACGTTTTCGCATTTTTCATGAAATATAGAGAACGTTGCATTTTTACAAAATGGCTACTTTATCTGGGTCGCATGTAACTAGTCGACGTAAAATTAATCATATATTATAATGATATCTATGATTGTAGCTGTTTATCGAGAAATTTTATAG